AGCCCTATGGTTGAATTTCAATAACATTTGCAGCATCCGAGGAGTCTGCCTCCAAAAATAAATGCTGTTTTTGATTAAAATGTAAATTTGGTTTTGGATTATTCTTGAATAAACATTTCAATTTGGCAATTATTATTATTATTATTGATAATAATAATAATATTAACAACATGATTAATATGGACTTGCGGTGGTGTAATATGGAGAATGGTACGGAATAAGGAATAGGAGAGCCGGGCTTGAATTCTGGTCATGTTCGTTACACTCACTCACGCACAAATATCCTTGGAAAAATCCATCTCTCTTTTCCCCCACTTGCTATGGGTAAATAGCAAAACAAACTGAATCCTATAGCCTTGGTTGATAACCAGTCTAGGAGAAGGAAAATTCTGAATTCAAACCAGCCTGGTGAGGGTTGGGTCCGTTGCCCAAAACACACCAATGCTGCTACGGATGCAGTATATGTGGTGCCCCTACGGCCCTAAAAAGTTACGAAACACGTGAGGATTGTGATGATTAATATGAATCTGATTGATCAAAAAAAAAAAAAAGGTAAGGGAGAAAGGGAAAGAGAATTGAGAAAGAACGGACAAAATCAAATGAAAATATATATGTTGGCATAGGGGGGTCTGGATAGAGGCAGTACCTTTGATATCTGGTACGCGGCCGCTTCGGGTGGGCGGGAATCACTGGTCCTCAACTATCTTCTAAATCTCTCAAGTTTCCATGCCCCGGTAAACTGTTTCACCTGGTCGGCTAAATTCACGATAGGCGATGGTGTTAACACGGCAACATTATGTCAAGGACATCGAAACTTGTCACTGGCCAGGGCAAGAGGGTTCCCCAGCTTAACTGCAACGCCCACGTGTTCGCGAACAAGGCGAGCAACCTGGTTGGAGGACATCGGCTGTGGAGAAGAATGGGCTCCGCCAGGTTAAAAGGCCCATGACACGCTACATAATGAGCACACCAAGAAACCATTCGCGGAGACCCAGGCTCTGACACACAATCGCGAGAGATGTAGGAGTATGGTGGAGAGCTCAGCATGTTGGCGCCTCAGTGACTCCTTCCAGGATAAAGAGCGAAAGAAGAAGAAGAGGAGGAGGAGGAGGAGGAGGAGAAGAGGAAGAAGAGGAAGAGGAGAAGAAGAAGAGGAAGAAGAAGAAGAAGAAGAAGAGGAGGAGGAGAAGAAGAAGAAGAAGAAGAAGAAGAGGCGAGGAGAAGAAGAAGTAGAGGAGGAGGAGGAGAGAGGAGGAGGAGAAGAAGAAGAGGAAGAGGAGAAGAGGAAGAGGAGAAGAAGAAGAGGAGGAGGAGAAGAAGAAGAAGAAAAAGGGAGGAGGAGAAGAAGAAGAAGAAGAAGAGGAGAAGAGGAAGAGGAGAAGAAGAAGAAGAAGAGGAGGAGGAGGAGAAGAAGAAGAAGAAGAGGAGAAGAGGAAGAGGAGAAGAAGAAGAAGAAGAAGAAGCGGAGGAGAAGAAGAAGAAGAAAAGGGGAGGAGAAGAAGAAGAAGAAGAGGAGGAGGATAAGAAGAAGAAGAGGAAGAGGAGAAGAGGAGGAGGAGGAGGAGGAGGAGGAGAAGAACAACAACAACAACAACAATAATAATAATCATAAAAATAATAATAATAGATATGAGTTAACTTGCGACTTAGTGGGTTAGTGAGATATAATACCCGGGATAACAATTTTTATTATTTATTATACCCGTGTAAAACATTTTTAGCCTGAATTTCTGGGATGAGTTATCATTATTTACACTATTTATATTCGGACTATTGTCCACATCTTTTCGGTCGTTGTGCCCTTCAGCGTTCCTCAAGTGTATATCGATCCGGGTAACCTATAGGGAATTCTGAATAAACATTTATTTAATCTATAGGGATTGTTGATGCCTAGGGCTATCGCATTATTTCTCGATTATTCAGGCCGGTAGATGGTAATAAATAAATATACTGTTTATTAAATAAACAGAGCATCTACTCAAATCTCCACTAAAATAAGGTTTAAGCAATGAAATAAAATATCTCGGATTAATAAATTAAAAATCCGTTCCTAAAAATTTGTTTATGTTACAATACGGGACTGAGTGAAATATATATATTGAGAATCGGGAAAGATATGCGTTCAAAAGTAATTTTCCGGCTTTAAAGGTCAAAGCACGTCAGATCAAATGACTGTTATCCCTATAGGAACACAGGTTTATATCAGTGAACGTATATTTTTCTAATAAAAATTTCTTGACTATTCAGGTTAGTAGATGGAAATAAACAAATATACTTTTTAATAAATATACAGAGCTTCTCCACTGTTTTTGGAACCCAGAATTTTTTTCTCTCTTAGACTGGTTGCTTCCCTGTTATTTACCCTATAGATGGGAGGAGAAGGGATGGATTCATACTTTTCCTAACGTTATTTGTATGAAAGTGAATGCAACATCATTGGTCGTAATTTGAACTCAGCTCACCAGTCACACTTTCCGCTACGGTAAGCGCGCATACACTACGTATGCATTACACATCTTTAAATCTGCTAATCAATAGATATTTATTTCTCACAAGACAATAAAAATAAACTGTCACATAGCCAAGAAGCGTCTACGGAAAGCTGTGTTGTTCTAGATAGATAGATAGAAAGAGAGAAAGGAAAATGATATAAAAAGTCATAATTAGATGCTGACGTTCCACACTACCTCAAACATACGTAAAGAAATGGTAATAGTAATATTAGCGGTTTCCTTATAAGGAAACATTCATTGACAGAGCAGCTAATAATTTGGGTCTGAAATTTCTCTTAAAAAATTTTTCATGAACATATGTTTCCCAAGTTCAGTCGTTGTTATCGCTCTTTCCAGTCTTAATGGGGGTTTCCGTTCTAACGTTTTAGTTGAAGAGAATAATGAACAGTTTTTTTTTATTAAGCAATTAACTCTTTGACCTCTGATTTCTAACTTTTCGATTTACAGATATGCAGGCAAATATGATAACAGTTTTGCGATTAAAACCAACTTTCAAGGAGATGTATATCGTTTAATGTTAGGTTGTTACATAAAATCTCTCGTTTTCTATCATTTTAATGATTTTTATTTATTAATAGTTCCACTGTATCATTCAACAACGAATTCTTTTCTCTACTGCATACTCGCGTAAAGACGCCATTTTTCGTCCCCGGTGATAATACAGTAAAGGAATCTTTCTTTGTATTCTCAAGTATCCTGGTGTTGAGCCGATAAATAGTTGGCAATTGAGGAGAGCTGGAGTTTGTTTCATTCTGCCAATGCGTGTGGCATCCATGCGCTGTGTTTCTGGACTTTAACTATTGATTGAAGATGACGAGTGACTGTAACATGAGAGCTTGTCATATTGTGGACCAATTCCCTAATGGTCTGGTGCGGTTCTTTTTTAATCAATTGGTTCCCATTAAACTGAACGGGTCGGCTAGAACTCGGAGAGTCTTTGAGTTCTAAATTCCCCTCCTTGAAACGGGAAAAAACATTTCTATGCCATTCTGTCGGCGATGAAGTCATCTCCATACACAGTACAAATGTTTCGATTAGCTTTGGCAGATTTGATGTCGAAAATGCTTATTCTATCTAGTTGGCATTCTTATCTAGTTGGCATTCCATCTCAAAAAGGGGTGTCTAATCTGAAATAAAATCACACTGTATTGTTGGCCAGGTCTTTTCAATTGATTGCCTCTTTGAGCCTGAGCCGGTTCATTTGTTTAACATACAGCTTAGTATTAGTTTTGGAGCATTTCATATCATTCTGTCGGTGATGAAGTCATCTCCACGCACAGCACAAATTTCTCGAGCAACTTTGGCAGATTTGATGTCGAAAATGCTAATTCCTATCTAGTTGGCATTCCATCTCAAAAAGGGGTGTCTAATCTGATATAAAATCACACTGTATCGCTGGTCAGGTCTTTTCAGTTGATTGCCTCTTTGAGCCTGAGCCGGTTCATTTGTTTAACATACAGCTTAGCATTGACTATTTAGTTGTTTTCAACTATTTCATAGTAAATTAGTCCTTACCAATCTCACCAAATACAGATCATTCACTTGCATAGATGCAGTTCTGGCTTGGTTCAGTGTTTTGCCTGGTTGTCAGGACTCATCCTTTCTTTTCTTTGCTTCATATCCATGTAAATTTTGTGTGTAATGAATTCCTCTCTATACACAGCACTAATGACTCGGGCAGCTTTGGCAGTGTTGTAACCTTGATTAAAAGCAAAAAGAAATATGTCAAACATGCTCATTCTTGTCTATTTGGCATTCCATCTCAAAAGGGATGTCTAATCTGAAACAAAATTCCAAAAACGTTAGAGAACAGATTCACACGATGACCAGAGTTACTAAGAAGCAAAAAATTCCACGAAAGATTATTCTGCGAGATCATTCACAGAATATCAGAAAACACGAAAGAATATTTGTAAGAACCTAATAAATAAGGAGAGAAACCACATCGTTTTCCTATGGTCCTTGATTATTATTCGAGATCATTCGCAGAACATAAGAAAAAAATCCAACGAATATATGTAACGATTTAAAATATTATTTTATCTTGTTCAAATAATCTACAAAATGACAACTTTCATATTTGTTGTAAAGCAGTTCTTATAGCATGTCTTGTGAATGTCATTAATTTTTTTTGCAAAATTTCGACATGTAAAAATTTCACAAGTTGGCTAATTAACTCTTTCCCTAAGATGTTGCAATGGCAAAAGGATGCAGATACACAATAGGAAAAAAATACAAAAAACACGCTCTGTTGATATCTGTGGTCAAACATAGTGAAGCAAAATGTACGAAATGTAGACATTCCATATATGAAGCAACATTTGGACTCTGAAATCTGAAAATGGGTCCGGCTATGAACCAGACACCATCTCAGTTTGTAAATAATGTCGATGTGAAATAATGATCAGCTGTAATGTGTCGGCTGTTGTGACGCAGTTATCTAAACTGGAAGAGTTAGCACAGTTGTTTAGACAAACAGATCTTGTGATGTCGGCTTTTCCAGCTGGCGTCTGGTCACAAGCCTCTAAGTCGATATTTCTTGGGAACAAGCCAGCATTTGCTATCGGTTCTCATAGACAGACCTATTTTACCTTCAAAATTTGAGTCCAGTTTCTCCTCTTGTCTTTTCTGTTTTACATATTTCCCCTTCCTCTTTTTATTTTGGTTATTCTTGAATTGTATTCATTAATTTGTGAGTTAATTTTTTTCTACATTTTTCATATATAATTTTTTCTTTTTCCTCTTCTTCTCGCCAGGCTTCTTCTTCTTCTTTATTATCGATCTTCCTGTCTCTTCATATCTATCTATCTATCTATCTATCTATCTATCTATCTATCTATCTATCTATCTCAGTCTCTGCATATCTATCTCAGTCTCTGCATATCTATCTATCTATCTATCTATCTATCTATCTATCTATCTCAGTCTCTTCATATCTATCTATCTATCTATCTATCTATCTATCTATCTATCTATCTCAGTCTCTTCATATCTATCTATCTATCTATCTATCTATCTATCTATCTATCATATCTATCTATCTCAGTCTCTTCATTGTCTATCTATCATTATTAGCTTTATTAGTTTTTATATTATTTTCCTTATCTTTCTTTCTTTCTTTCTTTCTTTCTTTCTTTCTTTCTTTCTTTCTTTCTCTTTGATGTATGCATATAATTTATACACAACTGCATATCTGAACTAAATTTTATAAATACACATATTTATGCGCACACAAATTTTTCCCTACATCTAAATTCCCGTAAAATTTACACCCATAAATACTTTTCGCAGTTAAATATATATTATCCGGTGACATTGCATTTTCTATTGTTCTCATTGCTATTTTAGTACCTTTTAGAATTTCTCTCTTTTTTTAGATATTATTATTTATGTGGGCGTAACAGAGATTGCAAGATGGAAAGAACGAAAGAGTGAAAGAAGAAGTTATGAACGCACACATTTATCGGAGAGAGATTAGCTCTATAATTGAGTACCTGCATTTTATACGTGTCTCGTATGTGTATTTTATACGTGTCTCGTATATGCGTTTCATATGCGTTTAATGCATTTTTCTGGCTTTCCAATTTTCTCCAGATATTATTTGCTTCATTTTATTGAAAAATGTAGGTCATCGCAAATGCTGGCATCACGAACGCAAGCATCAGTAATAACAGGGAATTTATTTTTCATCATCATCATCGTCGTTGTCATCGTCGTCATCATCATGCAGCAGCATCGTCAACAACAATTACCCGAGAACCTTTCTTCTTTCCCTTATTGTTAATTTCATTGACTTTTCGGGGGGAATGTACTCGCTATCATTGGCGATCAAGTGACAGCAATTCTTCTCATTATTCTCAGCACCCTCTTTAATAATTCAAATGATTTTAAAAAGTAGTCTGGTGAATGTACTTCATTTCTTCCTTCGATTTCCAATTCTTTCGGCTTATTTGAAAGGCCCGTCCAAATTGTAAGTTCTTCAATAATGATATTTTTAAACCGATAGCCCAATACAATGCCCAAGAGCCACTCAAGGTAGAGCGTTACTAAGATTTTAAGGGAAGGCGAAGAGGGAAGTAAGAAAGTATTATGAGAATGAGTAGAATAGATATCAATTGATTCTGGACTTAAATAGACCAAGTTTGTAGTTGCCAGGGAAGCATTCTCTCGTGCGTCTGTTCCACAAAGTAACAGTTCTGGGGAAGAAGCCATCGGAGTTTTTTATTTTTAATTTTTATCAAAGAAAGACAAAGGAATAGGAATGTTTTGTTATCTTAAACATTGCATGGCGGGTCCTAGCTGTGAAGGTCCAAGCTGGTGGCATAAAGGAACATCGGTTATAGTAATTAGCAATATAGTTGTGAAAGGTTGGTGACGTTTCGCCTGTAGGGTAAGGGTTGCACGGAAGAGAATAATAATAATTCATCACCCACAAGGCAGTATAAGCGCTTTTGAACTCGACCAGACCAGATATGACAACAATACTCCGTTCTTGGTTTGATCTTGCTCTTTAAAAGATAAAGAGCGTCAGCTGGAGTTAGGTCGTCAGCTTATTATTTTTTCATCTATCTATCTATCTATCTATCTATCTATCTATCTATCTATCTATCTATCTATCTATCTATCTATTATGTGATTCACGTGAGGGAATACTAATGGTCTGAATAGAATTTAATGTAATTCAGAAATCTTTCTTCTAAGTGGAGTTGATCTGTTGTGATCCCAAAATGTACTGGGATCACCCTAAGTGATATCAAAGTAATCATTGTATTAGGTGCCTACGAATGCAGCCTCATAGTCGTCAAGTACAGAATCGTGCTTCAAATTATGTTAGTGGCTGACATAAAACAAGAAGTCAGCCCTGCTGAATTTTGGGATATATACACGAACAAGAACAATGGATAATAAGGCATTATATAATAATTTGACGGAATCCAGAAGTGAATAAACATTTATTTTACATATGAAAACTTTTGTTACTAACATACTGTCACGCACGCACACAGGCACGCACACAGGCATGCACACACACACATACACACATTCTCTCTCAGTCCTCTGTCTCTTTCTATATATATATATATTTTTTTTTATTTCTCTAAAAGTAAATGGATTTATATTAATCCGACATTTTTATTACGTTTTTATAGCAGATATTCGTATTTGAAATAGATGTCACATTTTTATTTTAAACAGTACGTATTACGTCATCGGTGGGTGTATTCGGGAAATCGTAATATAGAAAATGTGCTCCCCGAAAGCGAACCTGTGTCCCCTTTATAGGAGGAACCATCGTTTGTTAAGAGTGAGACATTCAGGATATGTCAAACATTGTCGTTTTCTTTACAGTTCTAGATATATATATATATATATATATATATATATATATATATATATATATATATATATATATATATATATATATATATATATATATATATATATGTGTGGTTGGTTCTGCACAAAGCCTTCACCACTATAATCAAATCATATGTGTTGGTGTCTGTCTATTTGATCCTCATATGTCGAATACGACGGGAGAGTCCACCATATCTATCTATCTATCTATCTATCTATATATATATATATATGTGTGTGTGTGTGTGTGTGTGTGTGTGTGTGTGTGTGTGTCTAAGATGCGATAGATAAATTGTCGCTTATATTATTAAAAAAGGAAAACAACACCGACACCTCAATGATATATTTACCAAAATGACACAAAAATTATACAAAAATACCTTGAAGTACTAGAGAGTAAATTTAGTCAATAAAATCACATTGGCTTCAACCACGGCCTCTAGATGACTTCGGAATCTTCTGCATCTCTTCCGGACGGTCTCTTGGGGGATGCTGCCATAATGTTTGCCTTCAGTTCATATTTGGTTTTACAAGTAGTTTTGCTGATCTCTCGACTTTCTGCCGGTGTGAATTGCGTCATGGTTTTCTTTTTCTCGCAGACGGTGCCCAACTGACCCTACCATACTGTGCAGTCGAAAAAAATCAAAAACAAACAAAACGCATGCGCGAAATTAAAAATATAAAATGGCGAAAATTTACTAATCGCATCCTCTGTGTATATATACACACATATATATATATATATATATATATATATATATATATATATATATATGTGTGTGTGTGTGTGTGTGTGTTCTTTTTTCTGTGGATTCAAGTCTCATATATATATATATATATATATATATATATGTGTGTGTGTGTGTGTGTGTGTGTGTGTATATATATATATATATATATATATGTGTGTATGCATGCATGTATAAGATATGTATATTTCTTTCCTGAAGTATTTAGTCCTCGGTATGAAGATAAACTACATCCGGCAGCAAGGTCTCTGTTTGGGCGAATCGATGTTTAGAGAAGCGTGGAACCACTTCTTAATTACTGTTGCTTCTATGTCCACCCTGACCTGGAGTGGTAGTACCTGTTAGGGTCCCATCTATGGGCAAATAGTGAACACCAAACAAAAAATAAACTCTATCAAAATATAAGAATAGCTTTTTTTCTGCTGAAGAGGCCAACAATACAGTTTTATATAAAAATTACCAACAATACATATTTATAGTAAAATAACAAAGAATACATTTTTAAAGTAAAATGACCAGCAAGGCATTTTTAGTAGAATTACCAGCAATGCAAAATAAACAACAATATATTTTATATGTAGTTGAAGCCATAACTTGTGTTCAAATATTTAGATTTTGGCATTAAATAACCCTTAGACGTTGATATGCCGCTAATGTTTTTCTTTTCTTACATACTTTTTATCAACGATCTCTTATCCTCTTTTCATACGTATAAGATTATTTTTCCTTTGACCATGTTGTTATATTACTCAATCTGGTGGAAAGTGACGCTGCTGTTCTAAATAAAGTCGAATTCAGATGTTTTATAGAACTCAACAGGTTGCGTTTTTGTGGGTATTTAAGGCGAAATTGCCTTTTTAAATATGTAAACATTAAACAAAGACGATAGAAGCGTAAAAAAACTTGAATTTATACTACGGACATTTATTCCTTTTATAGTGACTGTAGTGAAACAAAGTTATTAATGTCTCTTCGATATGTCTGTTTTATTATTTTGTTTCGGAAGTAAGGATAATAATAATTAAAATGGTCGAGCTCAACTCAGCTTGGCACTGAGTTGGAACGACCAATTCGACTTCATGCGTACTGCTGCCAAAACACATCCGAAAGATGTCGAAAAATGGAAAAAGATTCTGTCCTTTCCGGAAGTGGGGTCATAAAATCACGCATGTGACCAAAAACCCTTTCCGGTTTTATTATAACTTGCATCATGGAAAATGAATTCCCTTTTTTTCTTTATTATTATTTTCTTACTATTTACACTATTTACATTTGTCGGACTGTTGTTCTCATCTCTACAAAGACACATGGCTCAGTGGACAAAAGTGTTGGTTTAAGTAATCCATTGATTTGATCCAAACAGTTGTGAGTTCAATATCTGGCAACAGAAGAGGTGAACAAAATTTGGAAAGTTGAATTACTAAAGGGAATTAACTGAAACTGAGATATCCAGAAAAGGCATGGCACGTGGAACTAGAACTAGAACAATCTACCCCAGTGGACGAAATAAAAGTTTCGGTTCGAAATTCCAAAGTATATCAACTGAAGAAGTCCGGAGCGTACAACGGCCGAAACTTTGTGACGATGACAATAAAGGCGGGGACAATAGTCCGAACAAAGTAAATAGTACAAATAGTTACAATACCACATCTCAGAAATATAGACAGATACTATTTTCTTTATTTGTTTTATTTCATTATCCCACAGTGTCGTCACTTTGAGAATCATTGCCGTCGAAGTTATAATGAGTTGCCATTTCGCAGTAGGCAAGAATACCAGCCAGCGATTAATGTATGTGTTGGTTTAACCTGTTTCTCTTCTCATTAGGTCAACAGAGAAACCCGAATTGGCTCAGCTAATGACGGTAGTATAAATATTGGGTCGGAATTAAAGGTCGTTGTGTTTAAATAAGCGAATTTCAAAGACAATATTTAGATATTTGTAAATAGAATTATTCAACTACATATATGCCATTTTGTTCCATTCTTTCGCCAACTTCCAGTCAGTTTCATGATTTCAACATTCCAGAACTCGGCATTTTCTGGCTGGTGAAATGGCTTTCAGATACTTGAAGTTCTTCCTATTAAGAGAATTTTGGTAGGGATTGAAATAAGTGGTAGTCCGAAGGTATAAAGTCAGGTAAGTGCGGTGGGTGTAGTAGAACATCCCAGCCAAGCTGTACCAATTTTTACCGGGTCAGCAAAGAGATTGGCCACTGTCAGACGATTTTCAACGATTGCGGCTTCGCTGTTCAATTGGATAGACTACATCCCTGAAGTCAACGTCTGAATCTGTCGGAAGGAGCTCGTAATAGCCTTTCTAATCCCATCGGATACACAGTATCACCTTCGGCTCCAACAAATTCAGCCAGTCAGTTCGATGTCAACCTCACAGAATATGGTTTCTGTCTAGGCGATGATCTAGTCTAATTAGTTTTTACAGGATTCTAGAGAATTGAAGTTTTTCTCATAAAGATAATTTGGCAGGGATTAAGAAAATGATAATCCGAAGGTGTAAAGTCAGGTGAGTATGGTGTGGGTGGGGGTAGTAGGGTACCAAGCCAAGCTGTACCAATTTCAGCCAGACCTGCAAATAGTTGTAATGTCTGGCGCTGTTCTGATGAAAGAGCATATCCTTCCGATTGACCAAGTCGAAACTATGTACTCCTAAAATAAATAAATAGTAAATATAATTTCAGTGTGGATACGTTTAAAGTATAGATTTGAAGTAGACTTTAAAATGAACCGGAAACCCAATCCTAAACAGGAAATGAAGGATAAACCTCTACTGCTGTTAAAAAGGTCGGGAGAAGTGTGAACCGGACGATCGGCAAACACACCTTCTCCTAAAAATAAATAAATAATTAGATAAATAAAATTTTAGAGTTTAGGCGAAGACGTTTGAAGTATAAAGTTGATTGAAATAGTCTTTACAAGGAATTTGAAACCCAATCCTAAACAGGAAACAAGGGATAAACCTCAACACCTGTTCAAAAGAGCGGGAAGGTGTGTGAGTTCAAAAACTTCTGATTCATGACTGACTAAACAGAAAATGCAGTTGGTTTACCGTTTGTTTCTGCGGTAGAGTAGTTGTCAACCATGGCTATAGAACCTAGTTTGTCCTTATATTCAACCCAAAGCTCGGCGGAAAAAAGAAAAAGGCTATTTGCGCGTAACTGAATGTATCGAATCCGACTGGAATTTGAACTCGGCTTTCTGAGTTTTGATTCCAAGATGATACCCATTGCACCATAACGCACACAACTTCACTAAATATTATAGTGCCCGAAAATGTTTTGCAAACTTAAAAAACGATTTGCTGGGTGCTTTGAAATTCTTCTTCTTCAATGTGCATTCCCCTTCAGAACGTGGGGCATTGAAACACCATTTCCCGTACGATCATCGAAGCTAAGCAACGTCGAGCCTGGTCAGTACCAAGATGGGTGACCGCTTGCGAATACCAGGTGCTGTAAGCTTAGGTGTCCGGGGGGTTTAATATAATAACTCGGAAATGTTAATCGGACAGCCGACTTCCAATTCTAGTTGGGTTCGTTATATTCACTCATGCGCGAATACAATTATGGAAATGTATGAATTCATTTATTCCCTCCAGCTATGGGTTAATTAGTAAGACGTGTATCACTAAATCATTATCTTCCTCCAAAATATTCTTACAATCTAAAAATATTTTCTGGCTTTAAATAACCTATGAAGCCGGAGAAAACGAATCACTCAATAAAAAAAACAAAAAAACAAAAAAAAAAAAACAGGACGTGGGCGATCATGGCTCTCCATAACTTCCAGTTTTTCTTAGTTCTTGTTTGACTTCTCGCTATCCCCATCCGAATCCCTGTTTTGGCTAACTATTTACGCAAGCCCGTTAGGGAGGTTATTCTGACCCTCTCGAGAATGTAAAGCTCACAAGACATATTGAAATATGGCGGTTTTTCATTGACACCGTTATTACTATATAATCCCCCCCTCGGTAATTTTCATTGTTTTAAAAAGCTATTTATAGTATTTTAATAAAACCCGAACATATGAAACTGGATTTAAACATTTCTTTCTCGAGAAATGACAGCAAAAATGTTAAACATTATTCATTTATTTATAAGATTACAAAAATGTGTGAAGCAACTAAAATACAATATTTATTATTTACCAATATAAAGAAATAACTATGAAAACAAAATTAAATAAATAAATAGTTTTTAATATTTTTGTTGTCACTTTTCGCACAAAAGAAAGAGGAAAATGCATCAATCCAGTTGCATAGATTTGGGTTTTTATTAAAATTCTATGACTCCCCGCCATATATATTTAGTAGGGCTGTGGAAAATATAAATGAACATGAAATAAAATATAAAAAGATACCGATGGAAAATTTTTCTTATTCTTTTATTTAATTTTTCCACGTTGTCATTAACATTCCTAACATTGTCATGGTATATAAAAATTTATATATAATTTTCTTCCATAGATAGAAAAAAAAGCTGTAAACAGAAAGGAGCAGAATGACACATATATATATATATATATATATATATATATATATATATATATATATATATATATATATATATATATATATATATATGTATATATATATATATATATATAGAGAGAGAGAGAGAGAGAGAGAGAAAGAGAGAGAGAAAGAAAGAGTAAGAAACAGATTGAGATAGATAAAATGAGCGAGGAAGGAGGATGTGTATAGATAGAGAGATAGATAGAATGAGTGAGGAAGAGAATGAAAGATAGATAGAGAGAGAGAAAGAGAGAGTAAGAAACAGATTGAGATAGATAGATAGATAAAATGAGCGAGGAAGAGGATGTGCATAGATAGATAGATAGATAGAATGAGTGAGTAAGAGAATGAGGATAGATAGATAGAATGGGTGAGTAAGAGAATGATAGATAGATAGATAGATAGATAGATAGATAGATAGATAGATACAATAAAATAAATGTATGGAACAGAAATTGAAAGTGGAGCGAAATAAAAAAAAATGTATTAAAAATAGCGTTGGAGAATTTTCTTATTCCTTTCTGTGCTGTAGGCACAGGCTGTGAGCGATCTTGGCTCTCCACAGCTTCTTGTTCCTTGTAAGTAGACATCAGATCGACCCGCGAGAAGGAAACAGAGAGACGGACATCGACCCGGGAGATAGAAAGCACCCGTTTTCTGGATGCAATCACAATAGACCGAAAATTGCCGGCAGCAATGAAGAAAGAGAAAGATCTAATGAAAACTTCAACACGTATTTTAAAATTAAAATGTTAATTGATATTTATCAGTGAGTTCAATAAATTATCTTTTCTTATTTCACATTGTTAATTGGAAGAAAAGCTGATGACTTCCCAACATTAGGCATTCACGTTATTTCTTTTCTTTATATTGCTTTTTTATTTTTCCATATTGAAGGAATAATACATCAGTCTTTTTTTCTTCCATTTTCTTTCTTTCTATGCATCTCATCAGAATCGATAAATTGTCCACTATCTTCCAAGCAGTTTCGGAATTCATAAGCCATTGTCAAAGAATTTGTTTGTGGATTAATAAAAATGCGTCAATACGTGTGCGTTATGTCTCTTGATAGCTTTTGTTTTTAATATCGCGTTCTCGCAAACTGACGCGTGAAGATGTCAGCGACTGAAATAGGAGACAAGACACAAAACGAGCTGAAGCATCATGACGCCGTCTTCGAAAACTATTCGGAATCATAACGAGATGCAACGTTATTAAGCGACAAATTTTTTGATAATAACTTCCGAAAACCGCAGGCGCTTGAAGATATTGGATAATTTATGTTTATGTCCGGGATTTATAAAATTTTTTAGAAACGAAATAAACACAACAAAAACTAGTTAGTCTTTAACCAAGTTTGCATATATATATATATATTAAAGGCATTTTTTTATGTTTAACATTCTTTTTATAGATACAAGTATTTAAGTAAATGCTCTGTTTATAATAAACAGTATTAAATAACATTTACCAGCCTGAATGTCCGAGAAATTTTCATAGAAAATATTCGTCCTTTGACAGGATTCGAACCTGCATCCTATACGGAACCGTCATTTACGCTGACGTGCCTTAACCGTCTCGGCAACAAAGGAGTGTTCGGTAGGCAAGGTCGAATTTACTGCTTATAAACTTCAATCTTCCATGAATCTCGTTATTTATGTTATTTATGTGGAGAGAAATTTCTCGGACATTCAGGCCGGTAAATCTTATTTAATACTGTTTATTATAAACAGAGCATTTACTTAAATACTTGTATCTTTAAAAAGAATGTTAAACATAAAAAAATGTCTTTAATAAATTGTCGGACTTTGTCCAATTCTTAATGTATATATATATATATATATTTATATATATATATATATAAAAATCATTTTAAGCGTTATACGAATATTCACTAAAATGAACATTTAAAGTGATAAAAATCAAACAGATTGAACAAATTAAAAATACATTACTTATTTAGAATATATATAATTCATTACTCTTCAAGTACGAATTGACTTCTCTTAGCCGCTGGCGTATTTCGTATAGAAAACTCTAAAATTTCCCTTTCTCACTGCCGTGCGCCGACGGATGACTGGTAGGATTTCTGACTGATGCCAAATTGGTCGAGTTTCAATCTCGGCTTGAAGCAATGTCTAGCCACACTGATAGAGCTGTTATACAGTGAAACAGTCTCTCTATGGATGACTTTTATATATATATATATATATATCAGTGGCAACAGTTTCATACGTAAAAGCAATCTTCAGGGCATGATATTGAATATCATAACCCATAAAACTATATTTGAGCACTTTAACCCACAGCATACTTAAAACTATATTTTTATCACACACACACACATATATATATATGTATGTGCGTGCGTGAGAGAAAGATTGTAAATTTTTTTTAGTGAAACTTGTTTCATCTTTGTTAAGTAGTTAAATATATGTCTTCAGGTTAGAATGAAAGACAAATATATATATATATATATATATATATATATATATATATATATATATCGACAATAATACTAATAATTATTCATCCTGCGTATGACAGTAATCTATATCCAGCGGCAAAAGTTTGAACGGGACACTGGGACGTGAAACCAGCTCTTAATTGCTGTTATTCCCAGGTCCAGTCTGACCAGGGGTGATAGCACCTTTTAGGGTCCTAGCTATGGGCAAATAGTGAATCCTCAAAGAAAAATCAACAATACATTTTTATAATAAAGTGACCAACATGACAGTCATGCAGCACTAAATATATGCAAAAATACATTTTTATAGTAAAATTACCCACAATACATTTTACGATATACAAAAAAATACCTTTACTCTGAAAGTATAAAGTTATGTACAAAATATCTGCAGTTGAAAGCATAAAAGTAAAAAATATTTAGATTTCAGCATTAAATAACTCGTAGAGGTTGATATGCCGCCAAGCAAAATCAACCAACTACACTACCAACTTGAAAGAACTCTTTCATGACATTAATCCATATAATGTCTTACAATTAAAGAAATCAAACTGTATTCCAAAACATAACTTCAACAAAACTACAACATAAAACACACATATCACTGCCTCTAGTAATTATGTCTACACAAACATGTATATGCACAAAAGCTGGGCACCATCTACCATGTATTCAGTTGTGAAAGCAGAATAACATATACCATATTTTTATTACTTCAAAGCTCCTTTATGATAATAATAATAATAATAATAATAATAATAATAATAATAATAATAATAATAATAATAAAAGGAAAGGGAACAAAGAAAGGAATGATATCAGTGTTTAAGTAGGAGTGTAAAAGCTAGGAAGCTTTATTAGGAACATTATAGAAATCATTCAGCAACCCTCTACCTCGAGTGGCTCTTGGGTCTTGTATTGGGGTGGAGAACAATAGGATAAAAATAGCGATAGCGGGTGATTAGGTATGGGCATAGATGAGATCAAAGGACATGTGAAAGTGAGGAACATTGCAAAAAAAAAAAAAAAGAAAAAAAAAGAAAAGAGAATTGTAAAATAAAGATAAGGAACGGATGGATTTGATATCCAGAAGCGTTCCTGGCAAATAAATCCATTTTGTAAATGAAAAGAATTGAATCTGGCGTGACTCTCTCTTATGTATATATGATTGTTTGTGAGCGCGTGTGAGTATTTGTGTGTGCATATGTGTGTTTGTGAGCGCGTGTCTATATGTGCGTGCTTGTGTATATGTGTGAGTGTGCGTGTATGTGTGCGTGTATGTATATATGTGTTTGCCTTCACGGTTTCTATATCTCTGTGTGTGTTCGGGTGCGCGTGTATATATGAGTGTTTGTGTGCGCGTGTGTATATGTGTGTATGTGTGCATGTATGTGTCTATATATGTTTGTGCGCGCGTGTTTAAATGTGTGTGTATATAACTATCCATACGCGTGTGTACATGCGTGTGTATATGACTGT